GGGCTTGTCTAGTTTGTTCACCTCCAAGGATCACTGCTCTGTGTTAGCTGATGGGCAGCGTCTTTCAAGCTGTTAGTTCATGTATTTTTCCTGCTTTTTGGTTGTGCACGTGGGAGGGTAAATCTTATCTCTTTTCTCAAAGTGAAGGCCCACCTGTACTTTGTCACTTCACACATCATCAGGACTGCCCCACTCTGACCTTTGGAATTCTTTTTAAAACGCTGAGTTTTGGGTGGTGCCTGTGACCCACTGGGTAGGGTGCCAGCCCCATATACCAAGGATGGCAGGTGCAAACCTGGCCTGGCCAGCTGAAACAGCAGTGGCAACTGCAGCAAAAATAGCCGGGCATTGTGGTGGGTGCTTGTAGTCCCAGCTTCTCAGGAGGCTGAGGCAAGAGAATCGCTTAAGCCCAAGAGTTGGAGGTTACTGTGAGCTGTGACGCCATAGCACTCTACAGATGGTGACATAGTGAGACTCTGCCCCCCGCCAAAAAGCCCTGAGCTTCCCCCCTGACTTTGCTCACAGTATTCCCCTCCTCACGTCCATGTTCCTTCTTCCTTTAGAAACAGGGCACGTGCTAATTTTTCCACAGGGTTTTCCAGGTCCTTGGTTGATAATAATTTGTTCTTCCTTCTAATCTTCTGCCGCATCCCATGCCTGTGTTTCAGCTTATCTGTCTTTGCACTGTGTGTTCACTCATCCATTTGTTCATGCATTCATTCAACAAGCAGCTAGTACTGTGTGTCCCAAAGAGCTAGGACTATATGAGGAAAACTAGAGGAGAATACAGGCTTCCTGCACTTAAGGAGATTACGGGCTAGGGGGGTTGATGGGTAAATGATTGTAACAAAATGATGTCATGGTGTGTACAGGATATAGGAAGAAGTCATCAATTCCACCAATCACAGGGTCAGGGCAGATTCTGTAAAGGATTCACAGAAGAAATTATGTTTGTGCCAAGTCTTGAACAATCGGCAGTTACCCACCAACAGAACATATTCCGGAACTCAGTCTTCAGTGTGGCGGCAGAGTGGACCCCAGCCCCCTCCCTCTCCCCACCTGTCCTCCTCTCTTCCCTTCCCTCTTTCTTTAATTCAGTGGTTCTTGTCTGAGGATGATTGTTCCCTCTTTCTGCCAACCCCAAGGATATTTGGCAATGTCTAGAGACAATATTTTTGGTTGTCACAGCTTGGGGGTGGTCCTGGCACTTAGTGGGTAGAGGCCAGCAATGCTGCCAGGCATTCTGTGATGTTCCACAGCACCTTTCCTCGGAGAACTGTACAGGACCAAAGGTCAACAATGCCCAACTTACCAAGTCTAACTTCAGCTCAACAAAAATTTATTAAGTACCTGTTACATCCTAGGTATTGTTCTAGATGCCAGGGATATATAGCCGGGAATAATCTCTCGAGCTTACATTTTAGAGAGAAAGGAGAGAGATAGACAATCAGAAAATACATAGTGTATTAAATGATGGTAAGAGCAGCTAAGAAAAATAAAGAGAGAAAGAAAACAAGGGTTACAGGTTTTAGATGGTCAGGGAAGATACCACTGAAAAGCTGACATGAAATAGGCAAAGAGGTGAGCTGCATGGGTGTCTTGGGGAAGAGCATTACGGCAGAGGGAACAGCATGTGCAAAGGCACCGAGGCAGAGGTGTGTTGGGTGTGCTGTAGAAACAGTGAGGGGGTCAGTGTGCTTGGAAGGGAGGAATGGCAATGCTGAGACCAGCTCTAGAAGGGGTTTCCCTCCTAGATACTCAGCCCCTTTCTCTCCGTTTTGGACATATCTGGCTTGACCCTTGAATTCATTCATTCCCTTGCATAGCTTTAAAGTGTGTAGGAGGAGAGAGGGGTGGAAGCTTTGTGGTTTCATGTTTCTTTGCCTCACCCAAGAATTAGACCCTTTTGTGATGAGACAGGGTCTCTGTGATGGGTGTTGCATTCACAGCATGGGGTGTGAGCCAGCTCTGCTGAGGATTGGGGCACAGAAGGGGATGAGAGCCATCCTTCCTCCTCTTTCTCTTTTCCAATGAATGAGACAAAAGGTTGGTATTAGGTAGCAGTTTGTGTCAAAAACAGTTTAGTGTTTGGAAGGTCCAGCACAGGGCTGGACTCACAGTAAGTCTCATAACTTATTATTTTGGTTGACTGGGTACGTTGTTCAAGGTCAACAGCCTCGGGGGCAACATGTGGCTTTTGCATGATTTCCAGCTGCTTGGCATACACTCTGTCCTTCACTCTTCACAACAGGCCTGCAGGGCCGAGAACTATTGTTACCTCCTGTTTACAGACGAAAAATTTAAGTAACTTGCCCATGGGCTCACAGCTACTAAATGGGGGAAATCTGGATTTAAACCCAGGTTTGTCAAAATTCATAGGTCATGTTATTAACCACTACATTATTGGTCCAATCATGAACTTTTCACGTTTTCTTTGTAAAATCAAAGCATGATGAAACTTCAGAAAATACTTTGGCAAGGACCAACCATACATTCAAAGCAAATGATATTGCTTTTATAAAATAAACTTTAGATTTTTGAAAATAAGAAACAACAACAAAAAACTAATGATGTTTGGAATTCTGTTACTTTCTATAGAATCCTAGTAAACCAAAGAGGGTGAAGATGAGGTATGGAGCGTGGTATCTGGACACCAAGTTGTGGAAAAAGCAAAGAGCGGATGAACCCCTGGTTGACCCTAAGGCCTCACATGAAGCTTATGATGAGAATTTTAAAAAGAGGCAACAGGAGCAGGTATGTGCCCGTGCTGGGATCTGATTCATACACCTGCCACCCTCGTACTGAAGCCAGGAACTCTGGGTGAGACAGAGACTCTTGAAAGCCCTGCACCTCGCATGTTGAATTCTGCAAAGAGGAAGTCATAATGTGGGGATGTGCAATCAGCAAGACTTGAAATCTCCTGGCTTCTTGATTATACAAGGTCTCTGAGGATGGGACAGGCAGTGTGGTAGTCCTGCCACTCATGGAACATTTAATTCCCACGGTAATTGTTCAAGGGGTGGTGTGGCCTGGTAGAGTGCTCAGAGTGCCGACGATGTCATGGGTGCTCTTTGGGTAAGTAAATGTGAAGCTTGTTTTCCACCAGCAGTGGATAAAAGTTAAGAATTCAAAATTGCATCAGGAAATTTCTTTAACGCAATTCATCTGAGTTGCAGGATGTGTCTGAGAGGAAAGGGATGAAGGCTGAGTGTCATTTGATATTGCAAAGCAACCAACACCTGCAAGGTCGTGCTCTAACACCACCTCAGGAAACTCTGCACCTGCCCACGTCTGGGTCAGGGTGTGATGGAGAAAAGATGCTCACTGTAGTCCTGGAAACTTGGAAGTGTGCAAACACTTCCACAGGACTCTGATGAGGACATTTGTGAATCTCTTCTCTATCAACTACTCCCAGATAACAGATATGAAAACATTTTGAAAAAGTAGAAACTCCAAATTTGTTATTCATCGATAACCTCCTTCAGACTGGAAAGCTAAGACAGGAAAGAGGGTCATTTTTATCTTTTCCAGTACTGGGTATAAATTCTTAATTTCAGATGTGAGGTCTGACCCAAATTGATGAGCACGACATGCTTATGTAAGCCTCAAAATAATGTAAATAGTGCTTATCAGAATTCTTGGGGTTGTTTTTTGGAGCTTCCTATCTAAGTTTATACAGATATAATATATAACATAAAACGATTCCAGTTGCTGGCAACATTCTCTCAATGAATTAATTTTTTTTCTTTTTTGAGACAGAGCCTCACTATGTTGCACTTGGTAGAGTGCTGTGGCGTCACAGCTCACAGCAACCTCAAAGTCCTGGGCTCAGGTGATTTCTGGTCTCAGCCTCCCAAGTAGTGGGAACTACAGACACCTGCCACAATGCCTAGCTATTTTTTAGAGACAGGGTCTCACTGTTGCTCAGCCTGGTCTCAAACTCCTGATCTCAAGCAATCCACTCATCTCAGCCTCCCAAAGTACCAGGATTGCAGGCCTGAGCCACCATGTCTGGCAATTAAATATTTAAAAACTAAAATAGTTATAAACTTTTGTTTCAAAGTGTCTAGAAGTTCTCTTTTTGAAAACATGTTCTTGACTACTAATTCTTTTTTTTTTTAGACAGAGTGTCACTATGTCACCCTTCATAGAGTGCCATGGTGTCACAGCTTATAGTAGTAACCTCCAACACTTGGGCTTAAGTGATTCTCTTGCCTCAGCCTCTCAAGTAGCTGGGACTACAGATGCCCACAATGCCTGGCAATTTTTTTGGTTGCAGTTGTCATTGCTGTTTAGCTGGCCTGGGCAGGGTTTGAACCCACAAGCCTGAGTGTATGTGGCTGGCGCCCTACTCACTGAGCTACGGGCGCTGCCTTGACTGTTAATTCTTAAAGACCTAAAGAATTTTACAACATATAGTTCATTTGATGGCAAATGCTAGGAAAGATGTTTGCCAAAATGGTTACAGTCCACTAATGAAAATGGAGTATTATTTAAATTATAGAAATGTCGTTGATATAACTATTATAGTAGAAGATTGTTTATCAGGGGTTTCAGACACAGGAAGGGTTCAAAGCAATGGAATTATTCTACAGTGATTTCTATAAATCACAGCTTTTCAGACCTGAGGAACTTTTTACCCTATGCACTGTAGGTGGTGCCACTGGGCTCTGACACCCCAGTTCACAAGGCACAGACATGCAACTATGAAGACACAATCATCTTGCTGGGAACTTGTGAGCTTTGACTTTTTTGATTGAGTTGGTTTAGAAGGTGGAATGGTCTTAAAGAACTGAATTGCAATTATGGAAGCTTATATAACCCATTTTAAAATTCAAATACAGGTAAAGAGAAGCCAAACGAATGTCTAAATACTGAGAAGATGTTGGGACTGAGCTTGTCTTTTTTGATTGTTGTGACCTTTGGAGTTAAGATCTATACATTGTGGACACATCCTAGGTTAACGACCAGGGGCATCCACCCGCAGTCCGTGGCTGGCTGTGAGTGCTTATCAGTGGTGTCAGATACCACGAGAATTATGCTTTTTCTTGCTCATCAACTTTCATTAGTGTTTGTGTATTTACTGTGTGGCCCAAGACACCTCTTAGATAACCATTCACAGCCAGCTGGGGGCTGTGGTTGGATGCCCCATCACTAAACTGTGTTGCTAATCATTAATACAAGGCTAAGGAAAGGAGAGAAAGCTGAACATCTTTGAAAGCCTTCGTATCCATCAACTCATGGACATTATTTACACACGTCTTCAGCAATGAGAAGGATGTGGTTTAAAATGAGGTACTTTATAAAAAGCTGGCATTTTAATCGGGACAGGTGTGAAGTGACGCTCCTGCTGGCTGACCAGTTTCTTTAAATGTGCACGCTCTTTCAGGAGGAAGGCCTCGCAGACCTTCGGGGAACAGCTGCCTTTGAGGATTTCATTCTCAGCCGGGGCTACCCGATGCCGAGTGTGAGTGAAGGCCCACTTCAGGAAGCCCCGAGGAGGGGCTTCGTAGCTCACAGTGGTTGATGGGAAGGAGCTAGTACTCTGTCAAAAGCCAAATCCCTCCCTTACAAGCCTGCAGCAGGACTCAGGAAGGAGGGCCGTGGGTGGGGAGCGGGTTGTGGGCAGCAGGGTCCCCCAGCCTGGGAAAGGCTCAGGGAGCGACCCCCAACCACTCCTCCTCCTTTAACCACATTCTTCCACCTGCCAGAAGTCTCGTAGTCCATGCATACTGTTCTTACTATTGGCAAGCACCCGGTTTTTCCTCTTTAAGGATGATCTCTACCCCCTGTGCTAAGATGCAACCTTGTTAAGATACTGTATAAATAAAGCTGTTTCCACGGTTCAGGGGCTGGCTGCAGCCATCAGCTGCGTCAGTCCTCCTGACGCCATCCTAGCTCTGTCTCCTGTCTTGCTTGGCATTATTTCTCCATTTCCCACCATTCCACTCAGGTCAACTCTCCCTCCTTGTGCCGGGTCTCAAGAGCCATGCTTGTCCCCAGACAGCCGCTCAGAGCCAAGACACGCATTTTGCCCTTTTTATTCTGGCCGTTTGGTTTCTGTCACTGTCAGAGGGGCTGTTTCTCTATTCACATTTGACTCACCTCTCTCGGGTTTGGCCTCAGTGGGACTAAAAGTGAAAAGGGTCCCCGAGCAGGGAGTGTGCCTGGCAGACCCTGCCTGTCACCACACACTCTGCGTTCCCTGGGCAGCCTTCCATCTGCTTTACTTCTTCTGTGTCTAAGGACAAAGTGAACAGTGGCTTTACTAGTAACCTGAGAAAGAGGAAAATGCTCTATCAAAGAGTACAGGAGATAAAGTCACAGTGTGTAACTGCCCCTCTGAAGGGGAAACTCACAACACACTTTCCTCAGCCTTGAATAGCCTTGAGCAGATGAGAGCTGGGAGTGCTCTGCCTCCTCTCTGCTCTTGGCAGCAAGATTCCAAGGACACTGATAAGCCTCAGAGAAAAAATGAAAAAGAATGGAAAAAACCAGACACACCAACTTTGCAGCCGCTTCTGTCAACAGTCTGCTGAAGCGGAGGGGAAAAAAAGACATTTTTACCCTTCAAAAACACTGAGCTGCTTCTCCCTGGGACTGCCACTGCCGTTCCTTCCTTCATTGCTGCGGCTACTCCCTCCCTCCCTTCTTTCTCTCTCTCTCACTAGAATAGTCTTGCTATGTCTTTATATTTTGCTCCTAGTGAGAGAATCCAACTTTCTCCCATCTGCATGCTGTGAGCTTGCAAGTCCCATCCTAACACAGAGTTGTGGCTTGGGTCAAGACGAAACAGAGTTCGGTTGGCAATTTTACCACTGGGCTAGTAGCTCTGCCTCAAGTGGAAACAGATTCCGGCAAAAGTTCATTTCCAGTGGGGACAGTGGCCCCAGTGTCTTCTGCCTTTTTCTCCCTTCCTCCTTCCTGCCTTCTGCTCCCCACTGCCTTACTTGTGGAGCTGGCCCATCTGCCTCCCACACTGAGCACCTCCCTTGGAAGGTGACTCTGCAGGGGCCCAGGGCAGGAAGGGACCGTTGAGCAGGAGGGCCTGTACCTGGGAGCCAGGTGCCCAGACCAGCCCTGCCACTATGGCAGAAACGAGGCAGGTATCTGGGGCCAAGTTGTAGCTAGTAATAAGCTCTGCATTTGCCTACTGTCCCCTGCGTCCATCCCTGGGGGCGATAGGAGGCTGCAGCTGAGATGATCAGTGGCTCCTGGGACAAGAGATGGGATTCTGTTTTTTAAGTGTGATAGATCTGACCATAGTTTATACTTCCTGGCAAAGACATGTCTTGACCATGCTCAAAGCCAGACGGGTTTCAAAGTTAAACCAGGCAAGTCTAGAGCAAGAATCAGCGACCTGGGATTGGAAGACTTCACTACAGCATGGGGAGGGTGTGTCTGCTGTAGCTTTGAACATCAGTAAAGGCCTCCTGGATAGATTGAAAATGCTCACACAAATTTATGTGCCTATAATAACCGCCTGATCTGCACATAGGGCCATAGAAGAATATTCATACATTTATATGCATACTATGTAAAGCACGGTTATAGATTCTTAATGTTCATAATTGTATGCATGTTTATACATTCATGTATGTAGATATATAATTATGTGATAAATTGTGCATCTATGTATATCCAAGGGCTGTCCAGAAAGTATCCAGCCATGTACCATCAGAAATGCAGATGGGTGTGGATGGGCACTTTCCGGACAGCCCTCATGTGTCTGTCTGTCTATCTATCTATCTATCTATCTACCCTTATATGATCTGTGTTATTGTGACTCATTTTTCTACCTTCACATTTTTAGTGGCAGAATGCACTTTATTTTTTCATTTTGATTTGTCCCCTAATCCATTCCGTTGATGAACATTTAGTTCAATTATGGGCACAAGGAAGCAAGCCTGTCGCTCTGATGTGACTCTTCAGCTGTGTTGACTAACACGGTGCCTCTGGCCACAGCGCAGTGCCCTGAGACCACCTCTCACTCAAAGCCCAGCAGATTTTGTGCCTTTATTCTTGTACCCTGTGTTCTCTATTTCATTGATAAGATTTCAGTTGAAAGGGAGAAAGGAATCTTAGCATAGCCAATGAGATCTGTATGAACATCACTTTCTTTTTCACCCCTCATGTTTGTGTACACTGTTGTACACACACTCGTGTTTGTCATATGAGCACACACACTTATGTACAGATCCTAGTATCCGCTACTGGATTATCTGCTGCGTGCATTACCCAGAGCTTCATTTCCTCTGCTACCCGGATGGGTCACAAACCTTTAAGAACACAGCTGGGCTGGGCCGGGCACAGAACAAGTGTGAATTCGATCTGAGTGTCTCTGATGCTGTACAACTACCTTCCAAAGACCAGCGTCTATCATGGTTAGATTTTCATCATATGATTTTGTACAGTGTAAAGACACACATCAGAGTGTGGAATTTGAATTTGGGTGTGGTAGTGATTGTGGGGAGGACTATCCTGGACAATTTTTGTTTGTTACTCTAACGGAGTTTCTCTCTCTCTCTGTTTTTTCTTTTTGTTTGTTTGTTTTGTTTTGTTTTTTTAGTTTCTAAAGAAGATGTATCCCAGGAAAGAACATAAATATGCATGTAGCAAGACTCCTGTACGATTAACTCAAGCGTAGAAGAATCCTGGGAAGATGATCAGGCAGATTTTACCGACTACATACTTGGCTGGTACTCTCTCTCTCTCACTAAGCATTACACAGAGTTTATTGTCGGTGCACCACTGGGAGTGTTCATCTTTGACTTGGCAGCATCTGTAAAGGTAGTACATCATACAAACATTTCTCAACCATCTTCTCAATAATCAATACTTTATATATTTCATCATCTAGGAGATCAGTCATCACAAGTAATCTCACATTTTTGTAGCACTGTGACTATTATGTAGATGTCTGCACTATTTGTAAAAATTAAAACAATAAATAAAAGCAGAATTACTCTGTTGCAGTTTTTAGGGTATTATTTTAGGGTATTACTTCATTTTTCCTGTTTCTTTACAATATTAGTTTCTTTCAATTTGAAAGAGCTTATGGAGGTATTTTTTCCTTTTTTAGGTATTGCTGTGGTTTGGATATGGTTTAGCCACACGCGTGTCATGTTGAAATTCAATCCCCAGCACTGCAGGGAGGGCCTGGGTTTGGATTGTTGGGGGGTACACCCCTCATGACATTATTTTAGAAGTGGTCTCACTCTTAGTTCCATTGAGAACTGATTGTTGGAAAGAGCCTGGCACCTCCTTCTCTCTCACCTGCTGACCTCTGCACACACCCTTCACCTGCCCTGAGTGGCAGCACCTGAGGCCCTCACCTGAAACAGGTGCAGTGCTTCTTATGCAGCCTGCAGACCATGAGCTGGAGAATAAAAAAGTATAAACAAAGAAGCTTCCTCTCATTAATGAAACCATTCCTCCTGCAGGAAAAGACAATCATGTGGAAAGGGAGGTCACTGGCCAGGGCTTTCTCCATCACTGAGTCTGCCTTCATGGGCAGTCCCTGGGAGATGGCCCTTCATCTTCTGGCCTCCATCACTGAGTCTGCCTTCATGGGCAGTCCCTGGGTGATGGCCCTTCATCTTCTGGCCTCCATCACTGAGTCTGCCTTCATGGGCAGTCCCTGGGTGATGGCCTTTCATCTTCTGGGTCTATCACAATCTTGTCTCAGCAATCTGTACGCTAAACTGATGACAGAGAAAATAGGATCATAACACACCCTTAGTGGGGAAAAGAGACAAGGAAAGATGAGGAAACCTCAGAAAACACATGGCATGTACATGACGTGGCAAGAGAGAAAACGCAGATAAATGCAACCTGCTCATTTTCCACAGAGAACCAGGAGGCTGCCGGCGCGACACAGGGTTCTCCTTGTCTCAGGTTCTTTTTGTTTTTAGCCAGCACCTTCTGGCAGAAATTGTTCACTCAACTTTTACTCTCAAAGGGTCTAAGCCCTGATGATCCTGACCAGTCATGACATTTTGTCAGTAGACATGGGAACACCAAGCGGAACTCCATGGAGTCCCCTGGTTTTCATGACTTTATTGTAAATCAATTTCCTCTGGTTAGTGACGACTTGTCACTTCCCAATGCCATACATCCCTGCCTTTTTCTACTTATTCTAGTGGCATGAGCAGTCCAAAGTGACCAGGTGGCAGTATCACCTTCTAACTGAATGGAACTCTTATTTTTTTTTTTAGGGGGAGAAGACTTGTCCCAAGCTTTTAAATCACTGGAGCCCAGTAGTGGGGCTAAGAGGTAACGATTTTGATAGTGGTTTTTAGGGGATACCTCCCAGTGCTACTTCTTGGTTCTCACGTCACGTTTCTGGATATGGAAGGAAGAACATAGGTTGGTTCCTCGTTCAGAGTAAATACTGCATTTTGTGAGGTACTGTCTCCCAACTAAAGCTGTAAAGGAGCCTTTACCCTCTGTGAGGCCAGACGTTTTGGGGTGAGTACACTATAGGAGCAGTGAACCCCACAGCATCAGCCTGTTGCCTTGTCCCTTTTGGTGTAAAATAGGTTTATTCATGAGAACCAGCAGTGGTGGAATGCCATGGGGGCAGGCAAGAACATTAGTGTCGGCAGAAGCTTGTCGGCCAGGTCAGCAAAGTCAAATCCAGTAGAGAGATGGAAGAGGTCTGTGGTGTTCTGGATTGAACTCACACCACCGCCACGATGTCTGCTGGAGACCCAAGGGAGCATGACAGGGGAGCAGGCCCCCTGCAAGCCGTGGAGGGGTGTCTAATCCCAGGCCCGGGGGCAGGGCTTGGGCATCAGTGCAGGGTTTGGGCTGTTGAGTGCTGAGCAGCAGAGGGTGCTGGCAGTGTTGGTCTGGAGAGAATCCACTTTTTTCCCTAGCCACTTCGTTTCTGGGTTTGCTACATTCAAATCTAATTGGGATTGGGGAATGAGTTTGGTTTCAACTCCTAGACACCTGAATATTCCACGGAGGAAGTAGCCAGATAAGTTTTGGGGAGGGGAAATCAAAGCTGCTGAGCCTCCGAGCAGCCTGCACTCCCACCACTGCCACCGTGCCCACCCTGTGGACGAGACTGCGGGGTGGCACTGGCCTGCCTACAGGAGAGAGGGCTGGTCAGCCTTCCCAGATGGCCACGGAGCCTTCCTCTACAGGGGAGGCCTTTTGGTGGGCAGTCATGGAGACCCAAATATCCCTGCACTCTGGATCCATTCTGAGAGATACCCTGGATACCTCTCTCCCCAAACATCCCTGTGACAAGCCCTACATTCTTGAACCTTCCAGGTTTCTGGCTGCCAAGCTAAACCATCAGCCACTGACCATTATTGGGGGATATCTGCCCCTCAGGCCATTTCTCCTTTCAGATAAAGTGGTCAACAGGCTAAATGCTTACAATTCTGCCTGCTGGAAAGGCCCCTTCCCTGCTGATGTCCAGGCCACCCTTGGCATGGCTACTACTTTGTGGCTGGTGCCACTGCATTGTCTTGGCTGACTCTTCATTTAGGGGACACAGAACACGTGCTGTGAGGACAGCAGGAGGGGCTGGGGGAGGAATGGTAGTGCAGGAGGACTGGGCCCACCCTGCAGTTGGTGGAGTCCTCAATTCCTTCTCAAGCCCCAGCTTGCACAGAAAACGTCTGCCTGAACATGAGAAGCAACACAAGTCGGAGCCGGGGGCCTGGGTTCTGACCACGTTCTGCCTGCCACTTATCAGCCGTCGGACTACGGGCCGGTTGCTTATCCACTCTCTGCTTCAGTTTCCCCAGCTAGACCAGGGATGACTGCGACAACGACAGCACTGCCTTCGAGAACCATGCTGAGAATTAAAGGGAATGTTACAAGTGCTCACATGTGGCAGAGATCCTGGCACGCTGCACACACACACTAGGTGTTAGTTGACACGATGGCTTAGTGGTAAGATAATCCTCAGCTTAAGATGGGCACTAGTCACTTGGTTACCTAATGTCTCCTGACCAACCTGCTGGATTTGCTAGTGTCTAGCAACAAGTCAAGACCCGTTTCTCAAAAGGAGAACAGTTATAGGCACAGAGTTTATGGTTCAGCTGCAACCCCCTCCCTGCCCCTGGGGCTTGTACTCTGGTTGACTTTCTGCATGTTCCAAAGCTCCATTCAGGTACGCACAGGTGTTTCAGCACATTGGAACCACTGCGACGGAGGGCGGACTTTCTGGGCCCACTAGAAAGCCTTCTCTTGCTTCAGGTTTCACTCAAAGCTGGCAGCCTCTCAGACTACTAAATAAATAAGCTGAAACAGTGAGTCTAAATCTGGTCTCCAAAATCCAGAGAGAAGTGTGAGAAGCACACCATTATGTTTGGATGTATATTTCCCACACTCGAGTATCGTAGGTAGAAGGAACCTGAGAGCATAGGGAGTCATAAAAAGCTAGTAAATAATTAGGAAGTGGTGAGTTTTTGAGTTTTTATTATCTTTGTTTTTAATGTCATTTATTTAATTGTAAGTATATAGAATTTAAGTTTTAAGCTGGGAGTGGTGGCTCACACCTGTAATCCTCACACTCTGCGAGGCCGAGGTGGTTGTATCCCTTGAGCTCAGGAGTTTGAGACCAGCCTGAGCAAGAGTGAGACCCCCATCTCTACTAAAAATAGAAAATCCGGGGGTGGGAGGGCTGTAGTCCCAGCTATTCAGGAGGCTAAGGCAAGAGGATTGCTTGAGTCCAAGAGTTCGAGGTTGCTGTGAGCTATGATGCCACAGTACTCTACCCAGGGTGACAGAATGATCAAGGCAGAAAAAAAAGAAGTAGAATTAAAGTTTTAATAGTAGGGAGGGAGAGAGGAGGGGGGAATGGGTGGAGGGAGGGGGATTGGAGGGATCACTTCTGAGGTTTATCTTACAAGGGTACAAGTGAATCTTTCTAAGAGTAGAATGTGAATGTTTTAAAACAATAACCAAGAAAATGACATGAAGGCTATGTTAACCAGTTTGATGGAAGTGTTTCGGATTGTGTGCGAAAACCCCACACTGTACCCCAGAAGTGCATTAATGTACATAGTTACCATTCAATAAAAAAAAAATACAAAAATAAAGTTTTAATAGTGGTTGTGTTTACCTATCAGCTCCCTGAATTTCTGAAATGTGTTTGTTGGCTTTTGTGACCTAGTACAACCTGTCTCTAGCACACCCCTGGCTGTAGGATGGGAGATGATGCAGGATGTTAGGTGTGAAGAATGAAAAGAACTGGTTTTCCCGCCTCCTAGGAGAGAACTTCCACAGTCTTCATGAAAGAGGGGGAGAGTCTTGTCACACAGAGGAAGAGGGAAGGTCTCTCAATGAGAAGGGCCACATTAGTTCAGATGTGCCATGAAGCAGAAGGCAAGATGGGATTAGACATTTATGAGCTTTGCTAGAGGATGGATCAGGAAAAGATAGGGAGAGCTTTTAGACTGTAATGCACGTCAGGTCTCTGTGGAAGGAAGAAGGGAAAGAAGAACAATTGGTATAAAAAGAATCTTGGACTGCAACACAATTCAAATATGGTTTTCACCAGCCAATGAGAGGCCCTCCAGATGAAGATGTCCTCCAGTTGAAGAGGAGGAGTCTTATATCTTTCCAGAAATGGGCTACTTGATTTTTCTGCCATGTTCAGTCATTGGCTGGGAGGAGCCCATG